TTTTACATCATGGCCGAAGCAGGAAGCTAAATAATAGGGTTACACAAGCATTGTTCAAGGAAAAAAAATTGTTCAAGTACAAATCAGGCATTCGCAACGCCCTCTTCAACAGCCTTGGAGGTGGCATCATCACCGGCCTCGTCTTCATCACCCATGTTGTACTCACGCATGAGCTCAAAAACTTCAAGCGCAGGCCTCTCTTCGCCCGAGGGGAGGGGGGTCATGATATCTGGTTGCTGAGGGGGGAGACCGTAGGCTTCCGGCTAGATGATCTCTGGAGGAATGTTGAAGTGTCGGGCCAACTTCCGGTATATCAGACGATGGGTGAAGAACTCACCCCCTTGATAATACGATTTGCCTTTCACAACCAACCACATCTTGTTGGGGCCTTCAACCCAGGCGTCCACACTTTTCTCCACCACCAAGGAAAGCCACTCCTTCCTATCCTTGGCACTCCAGCCCTCGGCCATGAAGGCATCGACGGCAGCCCTCTCAGCCTTAGCTACCTCCTCGATCTTGGCCCTCTCCGCAGCCTCAACAGCGATCCTGGTGGCCTCCTCAGCAAAACCCTTACCTTTGGCCTCGGCAGCCTCTAGCCTTGGTCCCATGCTCGCCTCAACATCAGCCAATCTCTTCCGGAGGGAGGCTATCTCCTCATCAGATTTCTTCAAGGCCTCATCAGCAGCAACCTTGTCCTTCCTAAGCTGATCCACCCTCCGGAGCTGCTCGCAGAGACCCATATAGGTCTGCAACAACAAAGGCACGAAGGGTCAAACACACTACATTCATTACACAATAAAAGCGAATAAACATAAGAAGGGAGGAATGACTTACGGAGGCACTATTCAGGAGAATCCTGGAATTGAGGGCATCACTTGGCTCATAAATACCGAGGGGTAGAGAGTAGCTTCCAGAACTGAGCTACCCTTCATCATGAAAGCCTCCAGCCTCTCCCACCGAAAAAAGCCTCATTGACGAACTCCGGAGGCGCGGGGACGGAGCCAACGACGTCGTCCACAATGATCACATCGTCAGAAGCAGGCTGTTTGCCGGAGTCAGTCACCTTCTGTTTCTTTGCCGAGGGATCAAGTCCCTTCCCGACCTTCTTCTTCTTCTGGGCCGCATCGGCCTGAGAGCCCTTGGCTCCATCACCAGCGGCGGTTTGGGAAGGCTCCCCCCTCCTTCCTGAAGAAGGCATCCACCGGCTTCTGGGCCATCGGCTCTTTCCTCTTTTTAGCCTGAGCCTTGCCCCGCTGCCTCTTCAACGCCGCAAAAGACTGAACGTCCATGTTGCTACCTGCAAAAGATAAACCAAATATAAGACTGAGGGGATAAAGGCATTAACGAAAGACGAAACTATGGAAGTGTTACTAAGTAAACAAATCGGGAGCCTTCGGGAACCACCTCCTACACTCTAAAAGACATGATCAATCAGGGGGTACTTCTCGTCATCCTCCCCAAATAAACGGTAATGCCGGAAGCCCAAGCTATGCAAATCATCCGGGAGGGTAGCATCTGTGATCGTGATCAAATCCTCGGACCCTTCCGGGAGAGCCGTAAGCTTATTCCCATCTTTCTCCAGGGCCGCACTCCCCACCTTCGGGTGCCTTCGGAAATTGTCACGAAGGGGTCCGGAAAGGGGTTCTCCGCCATACGGATATAGCAAAACAGTCCTTCCAGCCCTTGTGGGACGAGGGCACCTCAGAAAAGAGCCTCCAGTCAGGGATCTGCTGCAAGTTGGCAAAGCCTTCGCTATTCACATGCTCTCCCCGGCAGAGATTGAAGCTTTGAAAGAAGAGGTCGAGCCTCAGGGTCACCCCTGGGATCAGCAGAGGTGCAAGAAACCCGTAATGTATGAGTGGCTATTAGGGGTCAGCTGTTAGGGAGCCAATTTCACGAAGTTTAAATACTCTACCAAGAACGGATGAAGGGGAAACCGAATCCCTAAGGTCACCGAAAGAATGTGCACAACAAAACATCCCTAGGGAGCATGGGAAAGCACATCATTGGGACCCGGCTCTATCACATTGCCGAGGTCCCAACATAGAGCTGAGTGAGATGATACTCGGTTTGAATAGCCTTCGACTATAGGGCGAGGGAAGAAATGTTCAAAAAAGAATGCCCCTAGGGAATGTTCACGGGCCTCCCAGCATCTACGGCCACCTGCTTCTTTCGGGGGCAGCCTTCACCTTATTTTTCCGCTTCGAAGGCGCAGCCCTAAGAGGATCTGGGCTGAGGGCTCGAGAGGTTCCTGCTCCACTAACAACAGCCGACGGTATAGCAACAATTACCCGCCTCCGTTCCTTCTCCTCCTCCTCCTCAGCAGTTTGGACGGTGAGGGCCATCTCCTCATCCTCCACCTCCTGCTCGAATCCTTCGGCCTCGGCTTCAGCCCTAAGGTTGCTTTGGACCTCCAACGCCATAGCAGAATCGTTATTAGATGATGCCTCCTCACTTCTTGACCCCTCATCCGACCATGTCTCAGACTGGACCGAAGGCTCTCTGGAGATATCTTGCGAGTCGCTAGCAGACGACATCCTTCAGAACTATTGAATAAAGGAGTTGGAGGAAGAAAGAAGGGTTCTAACGGACTAACACTAGATTTAAATCTTACTAAGCAAAATATGGCTAAAGAATCAAGAACGGAGGAAGAAGTGATCTCGGAAATAAGGTTTTTATCGATCTAAGGCTCTCTCTCTAGAAAAACTGGCAGAGCTTCGCTTCAACTCAAATCGCGTAAGGCGAATGGGATCAGGCCAGGAGTATTTATGGCCTCCCCAACCGTGGTTAGGGCCTGGGTTTGGGCCTCGGGTTAAAAGCCCATCATTACGAACTGTCGCCTCAGCCAACCGGTAACGCGCGCCCGAAGCAAACCAACTAGCACACACCACGTGGACGCCATCTCCAACGGTCGTATCCCAACGGTCATATTCCGACGACTGCTCCCAATGGTCATGCCCTCAGAACACGATCGGCCCTCGACCTCTCAGTGTTTTCCTCCTCAAAACAAGAACGGCCATCGGCCTCTCATTACCATCGTCCTCAGATCACGAACGGCCCTCTAACCTCAGTGTGATCCTTTATCTCATTCCGAAGGGTTTACCCCTCTTGGTTCATTTTGGGGCCATCCGGTGTGCTCTTTTTTCCCTCGTTAGGATTTTTTCCCATGGGGTTTTTTCCTAATGAGGTTTTTAACGAGGCATCTCCCCATTGCGGACCAAAAGGCGTCGGTCCTCGTCCCCAGCTGAAGACATGTGTTACTCTACTTCTTCTCACCCCATTACATGTGTCTCAAGGAGTGAGGGATTGGGGAACCCCCTCGGGAAAATCACAAAATTCCCAAAAATTTACTCAACGTCAACAAAATCAATGCAGCATTTATCAAAACTACGGGGGCAAACACACTCTCACCTGACAACCCCTCGACTTTAATGTGTGGGGGACTGGGGGACTGCCCTCGGCCAAACACGGAAAGGCAATGTTCTCACTACTTCACAGCTACATCAAGGCAGCCACCAGAGACTTTACAACACTTACTCCTATTTGCCTCGAGAAGCTCTCGGCAAAAGGAGCGGGAGACTCCTGATGGAGTATATGGCCCAAGAACCCCCCGTCCACATACTTCCACTGCTACAGCCAGGCCCAAGTGGCCCAAACACAGCAAACAGGACTCCGGACAGCCCATACTACAACTAGTGTGCCCTTCATCCTCATGCCCGAAGGCTACATGTTTGGGAAACAGTTACGTCTGGTCCACTAACATCAATGGGAACTAAGGTTAAAATTACGTGCGGCCTTTGGCACATGCAGCCCCCGAATCATGCATAGCCCTCGGTACTTGCAGCCCCCGGATGCACATAGCCGAGGGCACTCTCCTCGATAGGATCTCCTCTCCACATGCGCTGAATCACCGCATTAAATGAAACGTCACACCCAAACCGCCACATTGAATGCGGCCACATGCAATGTCGGCGCCACCCTGGCTGAGTTGACCCTCCATCGCTGAATGCTTGACACGTGTACCCTCGTTGATTAGACCAAGCATTTATGGCTGCTATAAATAGCGGCCCTTTTCCATTGTAATCGACACACAATTTCTATATCAAATGCATACTCACTCACTCTCTTACTTGCTCTGACCTCTCTCTTGATATTTGTTATAATATCCCTCAGATAAGCTACCCCCAGGGTACACTATCCGTCAAAAACAAACAATTTTAATTCGATTCGTGATTTCAATTTATAAAGCAAAATGTAATGTTACAAATATTCACTTCAGTATATTGTGCACAACCTAAAAATGCATTGATCCATTAAATTTTAAAGCAAAATGTAATGTTACAAATTAAATTCTAAAACAAGTCGTAGCATGCATTCATAACATAAAAAAAATATAGGAAAAGTTGTTTTAAAGTAATATATGACTAATATTTAACTTATGATCATATCAGTTCGATATTCATATATGATTTGTTAACTCTTCGTATTGTTTAACAAATACAAATACAAATCGAAAATAATATTTGTTTCATATTCGAATTCGGATTCGTGTTCGGAAAAATAAAACAAATACAAAATCACAGTATTCGACTCGATTCGGTTCGTTTACAACCCTATGTTAGCTGAAATGGCCTATCGATAATGAAATAACACCTTGAGGCCATGTTTGCCACCGAGGCCGGATCACATAGCCCTGCGCGATTTTCCAATGGTTCGTCGCGTCGTTCCATTACCCGCTGATTCCAGTTCCATCCAAGCCCATAGGGACGTCCGTTGTTTGATATTGGTTTCGTACCTGGCTCCATGCCACGAAGACGCTCATCGCCTCCCTTGGTTTGGGAAAAACCCCATTCATGTGGCCCCCTTGCTTGAGACAGCAATCGTAATGCCATAGTCAACCGCGTGAACCATCTGTCACCACATGTTCCTTTCTGGTTGGGTGGGCCAAGCGGCGTTGCTTATAAGTAACTTTGTTCAAGGGAAACAGCCATAATCCCCAACTCATGTCGTTACTCTACCATTTTACTTTCTCTCTCTACTCTCAATCCGTCATTTCGTAAGTTCCCAGCTCGGCTTCCTTCTTGCCTTTACTATGTCTGGTAAACCTGGACCCTCGGCTTCCTCAAAGCCCGAGGCCATAGAGCTCACCCAAAGTACCCGGGGTAGCTCGGCTTCCACACTCGTTCGTCCTGATGACCAGGCGGATGATGGGTGTTTCTCCGGAGACGACTTGGAGTTCCACGAGCGGGGGATGCCCAGTAGGCCTCCTCGCTACTCCCTTCACTTAAATATGTTCCCACAGACGGCGCCAATGTTGTGGTTTATTCCTTCAAGCCGAAGGCCCAACACGCTTCCCTTGGATTTCAAGTTTAGAGTCTAATGAGTGTATGATGATAGCAAGTAAGATGGGTCAATAACAAGAGTATTAAGTGGGTCGTATCTTATTAAATGATAATAAAGGTCCGCATATAATGCACGTCAACTACTAGCCACGAGGCCGTTCGTCTATCTCTGTACTAAGAGCTAAGATAATTGCTATTTGCTATGGAGAATAAGTTGTCAACCCCTTACAATGAAATAAATGCTGCTATTTATACTATCAAGAGATAAGTGATGTTGACGAGGTGGATGATTGTGAGTGGTTACCTTCTCAACCATCAAATCTACTACATTAAATGCGCTTCCCGTCAGTATCTTGGTTTCCCGCTAAGAGCCCCGGACGAGTGTCCTCTTAGCTAACTTAGACCCTGGATCCTAGTGACTGCAAGGGTCGGAATTCACTCGGCTTCTTCAGGTTGCCTGACTGAAGGTCCTGGAATGATGCTTGGCCCTTGTTGGACCAAGGCCACTACGGACGAGCATCTCGATGGATATGACGATCGTCCAACACGCAACTTGGTGGACCTGTCGACTGGGCTCGTGGTTTATCTGATGAAGGGTAATGGGTCGATCATAGTTGGGCCTATTAACCTAACAGTTAGCTTTGAAGTTTTTTACTACTAGTACTTCAGTTCAATAGCATTTTATTTGGTGGGAGTAATATCTTAAAAATCATTTTACAAAGAGAAATTATACGATCAAAATCACTAGTTCAACTTTGTATTTTTTATGTCAATTATTCATCCAAAGCTTTGATTAATTTTAGAAAAATGAAAGTAATAATCTCAACTATGGTTCCTCACACTATAATCTTTAAATAATTGATTTTTTTTGTATAATCTCAACTATAAGACATGTCCATCAACAATTGTTCATGATAAGGTATAACTTGCTATAACAGGTCACTTTTAAAGAGAAAACTACTACAAATCTAAACCATGCTCGCTCTTTTAATAATCCCGATCATCAACTCGACTTTTTTACAAAGCGTAGAAAACGCATTTAATTTTTAAAATTATAATGTGATAATATGTAAATTTAACTAAATCTAAAAACATATTTTATAATGTGATAATGTGATACTACCTCCGTCCTTTTTTATTTAGCTAACTTTGACTTTTCCAGTCAAAGATAATAAACTTTGATTCATTATTTTAACTAATTTATTTATGTAAAATTTAATAAATTTATAATTTTATGATAGTATTTTCAACAAAGAACATTTTCATATAATTTTCATATTATCAATATTACCGTGTATAAATATATAATCGATCAAAGTTGAACAACTTTGACTTGAAAATAGTGTTTGGCCAAATAAAAGGGGACAGAGGGAGTATTACATTCTATTTCATATTATTTTCAGAAAACAAATATTTCTAATTTTTATATGGAGTAATTAATTATTTTTGGGTTCCTTTACAAATGCTTGATTTTGTATTGGTATTTAACTAACTTTAAAATGAATTAATATTTTAGGATGATAAAATTTTATACTTTCAAATATTTACAAAAAAAGTAATTTTTCCCCTTTCTTAATTTTAAGAATATAGATTTTCATTTTTTTTTTGAATTTGTCCTTAATTTGCACTTTTATTTTTCCTATAAATGTTTTATATTGAATTTTGTACTCTCTTTATTTGTATACTTTATATTTCTTATATATTTATAATATCTTACATATAATAAAAATTTAATCTTCAAATTTGTATATACTTTTTACTATATTTTATACTTATATATTTTATATCCTTTAATTCCACAAACTACCTAAAGTGTAATTATAGTATTAAAAAAACTCTAATCTTTTAAATTTTTTAGTCTAAGAAAAGTCGATATATGATAGTTCAGATTATTATAATCAAATATTTATTTGTTAATTAATTGAACATGCAACTGGTCACGTGGGATCATTATTGGCGGATAATCTCTAAAGTTAGAATTATTTCAAAATGATCAATAGTTGATATTATTATTAGCAGACCCACATGTTATCAATTTTTTTCAAATTCTTATTTTTAATACATAATTTTAAATAAGGCCATCAAAAATGACATCGCCAACCATTGTAATAAGATAAGAAGATTAGAAGAGCAGAGAAACCATTTTAAAATTGGGGATTTTTCACAAATAGGTTAACAAGGAGAAGTTATATCACGTATGTCATCTTTTTAAATTGTTTTCAAAAATAGACTAAGAACTGTTTTCTTTTCAATAATAGTCCTCATAGTGCTCAACCCCTAAAAGCGACGCACTAATCTTAAAACCTGGTGCTAAATGATAACTTATTGTCCGTACACATTCAACAAAATCCTATCTACGCATCTCAAACAAAATAAACGGTAAAAAGATTAAAAAAAACTAAGAAAACTTTCAAAAAATTAATCAAAGTTTTCCGAGTCATCCAAAATTTGGATTACAAATTTAAAAACGAAAAAATGATAAAAAAATATGAAAATAATTGAAAAATTGTAGGTATTATAAAAATAACCAAAATGAAAAAATAAGCTTAGCAACAAATCAAATAAGAGTAAATTTCACTTTTGGTCTTATGAATATTTCACAATTCCACAATTAATCTACGTTTTTTACCTTGTCCACTTTTGAGGTATCACTGTTGTACTTCGTATTTCGCGCATATGTAATCATTCTGTCGGTATTTTTCGTGGTAAAAATCACCAGAAGTGTCAAAAAATTAGACAGGAGGACTATAAATACTCAATAAATACTAGTCACATATCAAAAGTGGAAAAATAAAATACGCGACTAAATATGAAATTGACATAATTATAGGATCAAAAGTAAAATTAATTCAAATAAATAAATGTTATTGTTAAATAGTAAACAAGAATAATTAATAATATTAAACAAGAATATTTAAAATAAGATAAAATGGTTTGAAATGTTAAATTGTATTAAAAGTAATTAGAAAAGTTTGTGAAAAAGTAATTATTATAAAAAACATGGAAATATGCATATTAAAAATAAAAAATTAAATAAATATATAATAAATTTTATATAATAAAATTTAAAAAATTAGAAAATTAGAAAATTTTATATAATAACATAGAGTTATAAATTATTAGAAAATTAATGTAACCTAAAACAGTGTAAAATAAAAACAAGCTCAAAGAATAAAAAATATGGAAATTTTAAATTATGAATTTTTAAAAAATAGAAAAAAATAAATATAGAAAGTTTGTAATGCAATATTTCTTGAAGCATAGATTTTTTTATTATCATTATATTGGTAGTACTTGTTTCATATTGTTTCTTTGTGTTTCCTTTTGTTGATAAATCTATTTTTGTTTTTGTTTTTTTATGTTTCTTAATGTTTCACGGTTGTTTTTTATACTCATAAATCCAAAATTAGCATTTTAGATCTTTGTATGAAAATCTATATAGATATCTTGATTCTAGGGAAGTACCAAAGATAAATATACATCTAAATAAACAAAAAATTAGAATTTAACAAAAAACAACAACAATAAACATGATGCAACAAGAAGCAACATAATGCAACAATTCAAAACAAAAAGAAACATTAGTAGACACTTCTCGTAGACAATATTATTAACTCTCCATCCCACACTCTTCATATCCCTTTTCACAAAGGTAGTAAGTGACTAATAACTCTACACATTTAAAGAATAAATTGACAATGATTATCTTCATAGTAGGAATAATACAAATAACTATACATCATCATGATTCTCTCTGTGATCTTGCAATGATCCATTTCAGCATCAAGTTTGTTTTTATAGCACATAACTTGTAGATGTGAACAAAAGCCTTTCCAGGACGACAAATATGAAGCTGGATCATGTACTACCCCTACAAGTGAAGTTATCACCAAGCCTTCTTATCCTCTTCAAATGGACATCCACAATCTCCTTGCCAACCTGTTCAAGTTTATTGATTTTGTAATGTAAGCTTGTAATGTTATTACAAATCTTTCTAAACATAAAGTACTATAATCTAAAAATTGAAAACAAAAGTATTATGCAGTGTTAAAAATTAGAAGTTTTATCAATAGTAAATATGAATAAAAATTAGGAAATACATAATCCAAAAAATGTTAAAAGAGTTAAGTAGATAAAATGTCACGAAATACAACATATAATTTTATAATAAAATTTTACTTAAACTAGTTACAGTTTTAAAAAAAGTAAATTATTTTAAATTCGAAATATTTTTTTATATATATAATGATATTATTACTTTTCTTGTTGTTATTTTGCGTTTTGTTGCATTTTTATATGATTGCTTTGTGCTGCCTTTTGTTTCTTTTGATTGATGAATTTTCATATTTTGTTTCTTATTGTTGATTTTTGTTTCTCACTAGTATTTTGTTATAATCATTTGTTATGTTGTGCTTTGTTGCATTTTTTTATATGATTGCTTTGTGTTGCCTTTTGTTTCTTTTGAATGATGAATTTTCATATTTTGTTTTTTATTGTTGATTTTTGTTTCTCATTGATATGTATTATATTCAATTTTTCATTATACACATTACACACATTCAGCCAGAAGGCAAACAACATTTATAGAATGCATATATAAAAGACCAAGGAAAAAGTCAGAAAGTGATTAAGCAGGCAAGTTTGACTTAGAACTTAGAAGGTAAAAAAGTTAAGGTTTGACTTGCAAAATGCAACCGGTAGTCTTTATTAGTGAGAATACATCTATAAGCACCAGAACCCCTTCCCACATCTAAAAGTAAAGGTAGAAACATTTCAATTCTTGGAGATTTACACTCTAGTTTCTAATTTCTAGATTTCAGCATAATGTTTAACCCTACAAAGTATGGCCATTTGGAAGTGCAGCAGACCCTGTAATACTTAGCTACTTTTGTAAATTACATCCCGTAATGGAGGTGACTTTTTAAATTAGATTTCAATTTTGTTACAATTCTTCGTTTGCTATTGTTTCCTAGTGTTTCTTTTAGTTGCACTATGTTACAATTAAGTCAACAAAATCAAGCAACTCGGATCATTACAATACAAATATCAGCAAAATCAAGCAATTTAGTGTATACGTTTTCATTTGGAAGAGCAACAGATCATGTAATACTTAGCGCCTGCAAAGTTAATTTTTCATATTAAAGAGAGGATAGGAATAAGATAGAATAAGCAAGCACAAATGCAGTTGAGAAGATCTAATACCTTTTTATCAATGCACTCTGAGCAATCATACAAGGACATATGATTTCAGAGCTTTGATTAACTGAAACGTGAGGGATTACATTAATATGCAATAATTCGAAAAGCAAAAATACTCCAATATGAAATTCATGTGTGTCATGTGGTTTGGGGATCTTAAAACTGAAATTCAATTATAACAAAAATAAAGCAAAAAGTAAAACAAAACTGAATCGAAAACCAGAAATAAATCTTAACTATATGAATTATAATAACAATTACAGTGAAGGTAAAATTCTCAAAATTCACACATACATGCAAACAGAAAAGCGGTGAGGGAGTCGGGCAACGATTGGAGGAGCAGCTGAACATGCAAGGGCGGAGGGCGGAGCCCACAGTTCGAAGAGTCGAGACGCTGCTGGGGGACAACAGAGAACGTCTCTGACTTTTGTAATTAACGCTTCAAATTGATTCGCTGTGAGATCACGAGGATGGAT